TCCGGTTCAGAGCAAACTAATTCATGCAGTTGCCAAATCGCTCACTCACAACTTTAATGCCAGTAGCTCACAAAGTAGAATTTTTGCTCACAGGACTCCACAGCTTAGAGGGAGCATTGCCTGGAACCATTATTGGGGGGGGGCTTGGATCTCTCTCTGTGTCAAACCCTGCAGGCCTGACACCCCCTTCCTGATTCCATATCCCATGGGGGTAGCCACAGTGGGAAAGGGCCCCAGTGAAACATACCGAGTTTGACTTCCCCGCGGTCGTTGAGGAGGACGTTGGCTCCCTAAAAAGTGAACGGGTACAAAAAAACAAACGTGAGAATGTGGAGGGTGAAGCAAGCTGGGGATTCCTAGCCTTAAGAACGTAAGAAGATAAGAGAAGCCAATGTTGGATCAATGTTGGCCCATCCAGTCCAACACTCTGTCACACAGTTACCAAAAATACCAGGTGCCATCAGGAGGTTCACCAGCGGGGCCAGAACTCCAGAAGCCCTCCCACTGTTGCCCTCCCCACAAGCTCCAAGAAGACAGAGCATCCCTGCCCCAGACATAAGAACATAAGAGAATCCAGTGTTGGATCAGGCCAATGGCCCATCTAGTCCCACACTCTGTGTCACACAGCGGCCAAAAATACCAGGGCCCATCAGGAGGTCCAGCAGTGGGGCCAGGACACTAGAAGCCCTCTCACTGTTGACCACCCTAATTGCTCTTTAGGATATCTGCAATGGTTCATTTCCTGTCAGGAAAAGCACAGGTTTGAAGAAGAAGAAGAAGAGGAGGTGAAGGAGGAGGAGAGGATTGGATTTATACCCCGCCTTTCACTACCCGAAGTAGTCTCAGAGCAGCTTACACTCTCCTTTCCCTTCCCCTCCCCACAACAGACACCCTGTGAGGTAGGTGGGGCTGAGAGAGCTCTTTCAAGGACTGCCCTTGAGAGAACAGCTCTGAGAGAACTTGTGACTGACCCAAGGTCACACCGGCAGCTGCGTGTGGAGGAGTGGGGAATGAAACCCGGTTCTCCCAGATTAGAGTCCGCGCTCCTAACCACTACACCAAACTGGCTCTCCAAAAAGACTGGCTCTCCAGAAGATGGCTACTCTCTCTGGAAAACCCTCATCTCACATCCCTGGTGCGCAAAGACTAGTTCGATATATTCACTTACTGGCTCTGCCCCCTCTTACATCACAACAGTTCCACCAATGGCAGGCAAGGGCACCTATGCGTGCTCTCTCTGACATCACAGCCAGAGGCTTGGTTGCCTCTCGTCTTGGTTCCGTTTCATATTCTGACTTCGTTGATTCTTTGTCAGGCTTTGACGTACTCCCGTGCACCGCCGTGGGAATGCAAAAGTTAGGATGCTACCTACTTCTTTCTTTTTTAAAAAAAGCGGGAACTACGGTGAGCCCAGACTACTCTGCTGCTGGGTCGACTGTCATTTCCACTTTCGGAAGAGAAATGAAACGTTCCTGTGCCTTGTTCCTGTATCTGCATTTCCAAGCAAGCAGTTACATTGCAGCAGGCAAAAAAGCAATCCTCCGGGTGCCTTCTGGAGGCCGCTGGCATTTACTCCTCAACAGTAGGGTTGCCAGACTCCAGGAAGCACCTGGAGATCTCCTGCTATGACAATGGATCTCCAGGCAATCGAGGTCAACTCCCCGGGAGAAAACGACAATTAGCCATGGTGGCTAAAGGGAACCTCCATGTTCAGAGGCAGTTAGCCTCCGAATACCACAGCCAGAAGGCAACATAGAGGAAGACTTCGACCTCTCTGCCCTGTTTTTGGAATGGTATAAAAGAAGGCAAGAAGCTTCATTGCAGGACTAACTCAGAGATCCAGGGAAGGCTTTGTCTTCCGTAATCTCTCTGGGCCAGTCCTCTGTGCATGGGGAAATCTTTGTTCTGTATATTTAACCACTGACTGTCTTTTTTTTAGGACGTAAGCATTCTGTTTTGTATTCCTTGCTTGTCTTTAGCTAATAAACAATTTTATGGTTTAAATAACCTTGTGTTGCATTCCAGCTAACTCTTCTTTTTTTTTTAACATTCTACCCCGCCTTGATAAGGGGCACTCACCAGACCATTACGAACCTAAAGGGGGTGGGAACAGGTGCAGGTAACACTTTATACAGGGTTAGTTTATACTGACAAGGGCTACAGTTGCGTTTCCCCAACAATTAGCATCCATTTTCCACAGGGGAACAGGGGGACTCAGCTGCCTCGGGAGGTGGTGAGCTCCGCCTCACTGGCAGTCTTTAAGCAGCGGCTGGACAAACACTTATCGGGGCAGGACAAGGGGAAAAGAATGTGATTTCTGAATCTGATTTCTGACACTCTCTCCTTGAGATAGATAGACAGACAGACAAGATAGACAGACAGACAGATAGACAGATAGATAGATAGACAGATAGACAGACAGACAGATGGATAGATAGATTAACAGGGGTCATTTCCTGCAGGAGCGCACAGGAGCAGAGCTCCGGCAGTAAAGAGCCCAGGGGGCGGGCATATGCAACAAGCCCCACCCCCTGCTCACAGCAGCCCTCAGTCAGAGCAAGAAGCAGCCAGGTAAGTTGCAGAGCCCCCCCCCCTCAGCCCCCCGGTCCAAGACAGTCCAGTGGCACCTTTAAGACCAAGTTTTATTCAGGTACAAGCTCTCCCTCCTCTGCGAGGGCAGATCTGTGTGTTCCCCCCCCCCAATAGCTAGCAATCCAAAACAGTCCAGTGGAGCCTGAGCGGTGGGTGTTGCCTTCTGACACACTTCCAGTGATGTCAGGGGGTGTGGCATATGCAGATAAGTTATGCTAATGAGTTATGCTAATGAGCTCCTGCACCTCTTTTTCTACGAAATGACCCCTAGATAGACAGACAGACAATAGATAGATGGATGGATAAATAGATAGGTAGATAGAAAGACAGATAGATATACTGACAGCTGTCACTGTGCCTTCAAAAGTTTAAACTTATAGAACATAATTTTATAATTGCATTTTTGTATGAGAAGCCGTATCAAGCAAAAGTATTATTAAAAGCCTTTGTAGATGGAATGCTATTTAGACGTCCAAGGACGCCGAGAGCGAAGTTTAATGTGAATCACAGTCCTTATCGGCTAGGTCTCCAGAAGCGAGTCCAGAAAGGGTCCCAGTATTCTCTAATGTTCCCAGTGTTCTGAAGACCAGATAAACAAGTGTAATTACTGACACCAATGAGAGATGCATTGAGTCAAATGATGTTTCCATGATGTTAACTGCTTGGCACCAGTTAGCGATCTTTTAATGTGTACATTATATGTGACGTCATCCGGGGTAACCTTTCCTGGTTATGGTAGAATACGGCTTGGAATTGCTGAAGGGCTAAGGTACTCAAGCGCCTGTATTCCCTGTTTCCCTTGCAATAAACAGATTCATCTAACTCGTTGGACTCTGGCTGTGTGTTTCCAATTCGGCTTCGAGAGCACACGGGCACAGATTTGTGCATCATCAGGGATGCTCTAGGCCAGGGATGTCAAACATGCTGCCTGGGGGCCGGGTCAGGCCCCCGGAGGGCTTCCCTCAGGCCCGCAGTGGAACTGGCCATCTCCTGCTTCCAGTTCCACTGCTGCTGCTGCTGCATCGTAGCTTTCTTCGGCAGACTCTCTTAATCACTCAGCCATTTCATTTTTTTTTTTAACCTGGGTCCTAGACTCAGAACTCTGAGCATGAGATTTCTGTGGTGAATGCCGACAAATCAAAAGTGGGTTTGCCGCTTACAGAGCTAATGGTTTAAGCATGTTTTTAATTTAAGTTAAAAAAAAAAAAAACCTTTGTGTTTGTGTCCTTTATAAAGTTTATATCTCCGCTACCTGGCATTACATTTTATGACACACGTGGCCTGGCCGGGCAACGTCTCCTTTATGTCAGATCTGGCCCTCACAGCAAATGAGTTCGACATCCCTGCTTTAGGCTGATCCTGCACTGAGCAGGGGGCTAGACTAGAGGACCTGTAGGACCCCTTCTAACTCTGGGATTCTGTGCTTCTATTATTCTATCTCTGTAGTCTGGAGATGAGCTGTAATTCCGGGGGGATCCCCAGACGTCCCTCTTGGAAACCGGCATCTCTAGTTTGTGTATTCCGCAGGGCTATTTTTTGGCAGGAACACACAGGAACGGAGTTCCGGCTGGCTCCCAAGTTGGCCACGCCCAGCAGGAACTCATTAGCATAATAGGCCACACCCAACAGCAGGAACTCATTCGCAGCCACGCTACGCTTCGGGGGGCGGAGCCCCCCCCGGGGCCCGATTCCGCCGCGCCGGAAATCGGGCCTCCAAAGCAGGGGTTTACCTGCCCCCACCCCCACTTGGCAGCCCTATGAGCATGAGATTTCTGTGGTGAATGCCGACGAATCAAAAGTGGGTTTGCCGCTTACAGAGTTAATGGTTTAAGCATGTTTTTAATTTAAGTTAAAAAAAAACACCCTTTGTGTCTGTGTCCTTTATAAAGTTTATATCTCCGCTACCTGGCATTACATTTTATGGCACACGTGGCCTGGCCAGGCAAGGTCTCCTTTATGTAAGATCTGGCCCTCATAACAAATGAGTTCGACACCCCTGCTCTAGGCTGATCCTGCACTAAGCAGGGGGTTGGACTAGAAGACCTGTCGGGCTCCTTCTAACTGTGATTCTGTGCTTCTATTATTCGATCTCTGTTGCCTGGATATGAGCTGTAATTCCAGGGGAATCCCCACACGTCCCTCCTGGAAACCGGCATCTCTAGTTTGTGTATTCCCCTCACCTGGCGTTGCTTTTGCCAGAGGGGGCAGCCCTCTCCATCTTCCCCAAAAGGCCAGCCAGCCACTCCACACTTCTTTCACAAAGCGGCGGGCGGGGGGGACGGGGGACGACCGGGCCCTGCCAGCTCATACTCACTTGCAGCATTTCTCTACAAACGTAGGCGATCTGCAGCTCGGATAAGGGCCCGGTGGCTGCGAACACAAAGGGGTAAGAGTCAGCCATCAGCATCCTATCCCTGGCCACCAGCCAGAGAGCAAGGGGTCTCCAACATGATGCCCGTGGGCACCTGCCAACACCACCCGGACACCCGCCAAATCTTTTAGGAAGTTGGCCACTGGAGAGCTGATGGGCTGTGCAGGTTTTTAAAAAAACATCGCTTCACAGCAGCTGCCCCTCGTCCCAGTGTGATTTCAAGCAAAGCCGTGGCAGCCATTTTGTGCCTGGCTACACCTCCGGCGGCAGCCATTTTGTGGCTGCACCCATCGCACTGTGTCAGAATTCCCAAGGAGCCCACAGGCTCAAAAAAGGTCGGGGATCTGTACCATGGAGCGATGTTGTCAGGGATGTTGTGAACTCTGGATTTCACGGACAGTTTTGTCCTCTAGGCTTGACCCCCGATTGACTTCTTAGGCCAAAAAGGGATGGCGACACTTGCCAATCCTTCTCAGTGGCTCGGCACGTCCCCCCCAGGGTTACCAGCCTCCAGGTGCTACCTGGAGATCTCCCGCTTTCACAATTAATCTCCAGATGACTGAGATCAGTTCCCCCGGAGGAAATGGCTGCTTTGGACGGCGGACTCTATGGTATTATACCCTTCTCTGGTCCCAAGCCACGCCCTCCCCAGGCCCCACCCCCAAATCTCCAGGTATTTCCCAACCCGGAGGTGGCAACCCTGTCTCCCCCCCATCAAGGCTGTAACAGATCGCCCACCCCTCCTAGCTGAGAGAGAGTCGGGTGTTCCTGGGTCTGCGTGACAAGTAGGCACGACATTTAGACAAGAGGCAGGGTCAAAGCAACACATTCTATGTAGGGTCTGAGTAACCCCAACTGGACTTTGCCTCTTACAGTCAGATGCCTGGAAACGGGAAACTAGTTTTTCACGTGAATAGGTACCCAATCTGCTCAGGTAACGCCAGGGGTCATTTCGTGTAGGAGCGCACAGGAGCAGAGCGCACAGGAGCGGAGTTCCAGCAGTAAAGAGCCCAGGGGGCGGGCACATGCCACATGCCACAAGCCCCACCCCTGCTCCCAGCAGCCCTCAGTCAGAGCAAGAAGCAGCCAGATAAGTTGCAGAGCCCCGCCCCCCCATCCAAAACAGTCCAGTGGCACCTTTAAAACCAAGTTTTATTCAGGTACAAGCTCTCCCTCCTCTGTGAGGGCAGATCTGCATGACCCCCCCCCCAATAGCTAGCAATTCAAAACAGTCCAGCGGAGCCTAAGCGGTGGGTGTTGCCTTCTGACACACGTCCGGTGATGTCAGGGGGTGTGGCATATGCAAATAAGTTATGCAAATAAGTTTTTCTAATGAGCTCCTGCACCTCTTTTTCTGCGAAATGACCCCAATTCAATCAGTAGTACAGACATTCTCCCTACTCCGGAACACCTGTTTTTGAACCAAAACAGTCCAGGGGAGCCTGAGCGGTGGGTGTTGCCTTCTGACACACTTCCGGTGATGCCAGGGGGTGTGGCATATGCAAATAAGTTCTGCTAATGAGTTATGCTAATGAGCCCCTGAACCTCTTTTTCTACGAAATTACCCCTGGGTAACGCGATATAGGGTAACAGCGGCTTCGGCCTTCTTTCTAGAGTTGCCAACTCCAGCTTGGGAGATTCCTGGAGATTCTTTTCCTTGTGGGGGGGGAGCCTGTGGATGGTGGTGTGGGACCTCAGCAGGATATAAAATGATAAAGAGTCCACCTTCCAGTGCAGGCGTTTTCTCCAGGGGAACTGATCTCTGTCATCTGTCTGGAGACCAGTTGTAATTCTGGGAGCTCTCCAGGCCCCACCTGGAGGCTGGCAACCCAGCTTCTTTTCCTGTGCCACTTTCCTGACCTGGGAGGGGGGCTGTTTGCCCACCTTGGGGCGGGGCTGTGTGTGTCGAATTCAGAATCGGGCAGATTTCATTTTCGCTTCCTTTTCTAAAAAACATCTGTGTTGCTAGTCTGGAAGGTGTTTGAATAGGGTTGCCAGCAGGGCTATTTTTGGGCAGGAACGCACAGGAACGGAGTTCCGGCTGGCTTCCAAGTTGGCCACACCCACCAAGAATGTATTAGCATAATAGGCCACACCCAACAGTAGGAACTCATTAGGATTGGCCACATTAGGGGTGTGTGGCCTAACATGCAAAGGAGTTCCTGCTACAAAAAAGCCCTGGGTTTGGACAACAAAGAAGGTAAACAGAATAAGAAGCAAAAGGTGGGTATGGCTGGATGAGCACACTTCTGGTAACATGGGGGAGTGGCCTAATATGCCAATGAGCTGTGCTATCAGGGGTGTGGCCTAATATGCTAATGACTTTCTGCTGTTGGGTGTGGCCTATTATGCTAATGAGTTCCTGCTGGGCTTTTTCTACAAAAAAAGCCCTGGTTGCCAGGTCTGGGTTGGAAAACACCTGGAGACTTTGGGGGTGGAGCCGGGAGAGGGCGAGTTTGGGGAGGGGAGGGGCCTCAGCATGGTACGGTGTCCTAGAGCCCTCCCTCCAAAGCAGTCATTTTCTCCAGGGGAGCTGATTTCTGCAGCTGGAGATCTCCAGGCCCCACCTGGAGGCTGGCAACCCTGCAGAGGACTCGGAACCAGTGCCGGGGAATAAGGAGGGAGGGAGGGGACGGAAACAGCTTGATTTCTAACAGCCGGATGGCAAGAGCGTTGCGGCATTTTGCATATCTCTCTGTGCTTCCTCTGGAGTCTGGCACTGGCTGCTCAAAGGCACATCGTTTCAGAGGGGGGGAGCGTGAAGAAGGCCCAGTCCGACTGAGCCTCGCAGTCTGCCCCCCCCCCGTGGGCCACAGTGGGGGGGGCAGCCTTTTCCTCTGATCCAGGTGCTGGCTGACACGGTAGAGAAAGCGATGCGACCACAGACGGTTTCAGTTCCGCATTTCGGAACTGCCTGCTCGGTCTCTCTGATCCCTTCGCTGCGCCTGCGTGCACTCAGACTGCCATGGGAAGGGTTTACTGTACTAATCCAGGGGATCGGGGCGTGGGGGGCCCTTAACCCGGCAGAGACAGCGGAGAAAGAGCTCAAGTATGGGTTGTTGGGTTTTTTTGCCAGATCCAGGTTAAGAAAACCTTGGAGAATTGGGGAGCCCCCCGGAATTATAGCTCATCTCCAGACTACAGAGATAGTTCCCCTGGAGAAAAATGGATGCTTTGGAAGTTGGACTCTGGGGCCCTGTACCCCACTGCGGTCCTCCCCAGTCTCCATCCCCAAATCTCCAGGAGTCTCCCAACCCGGAGCTGGCAACCCCAATTCTTTTGCCCTCAATGCGCATGAAAGAAACGGCTTTAACGGTTAGGCATCGTATCAAAAAAGAACTCACCCCCTGTCTCACAGCCAGGATAATCCTGGGCAATCCTGCATCTGGATTCCGCTCTGCATTTCCCCAGCACCGAGGGAAAACTGCAGCTCAAAACCACATCCAAATGCCTCGGGGCCAACACTGTAAAGTCACCCCATAAATCTATGCAGAAGGTACCATAAAACCCGGTGGTCAAAGGAAGCGAAGGCGGCATGCAATGCAGAGGGTACCATAAAACCCGGTGGTCAAAGGAAGCGAAGGAGGCATGTAATGCAGAGGGTACCATAAAACCCAGCGGTCAAAGGAAGTGAAGGCGGCATGCAATACAGACGGTACCATAAAACCTGACGATCAAAGGAAGTGAAAGCAGCATGCAATGCACAGGTTACCATAAAACCCAATGATCTAAGGAAGCAAAAGCGGCATGCAGTGTATAGGTAAAGGTAAAGGTTTCCCTTGCTCAAAAGCCAGTCGAATCCGACTCTAGGGTTGAGGCGCTCATCGTTTCCAAGCCAAAGACCAGCACTGTCCGAAGACGTCTCCATGGTCATGTGGCTGGCATGACTAAACACCGAGGCGCACGGAACGCTGTTCCCTTCCCACCGAAGCGGTACCTATTTATCTACTTGCAATTTCTTGCTTTCGAACTGCTAGGCTGGCAGGAGCTGGAGCCAGAGATGGGAGCTCACTCCATCACACGGCACTCGGGTCTCGAACTGCTGAACTACCCACCTTCCAGCCTGCAGTTCAGTGTCTTAACCATAAAATCCGATGATCAAAGAAGGTGAAAGCAGCATGCGGTGCAGAGGGGAATTTCTGTTCCAACGTGGGTTTCGTAAAACAACGGGAGTGGAAAGCCGATGCAGAATCACCCACTGTTGTAAGTATTGCAGGAAGCAGAAGTAGGAAGATACCTGATTTCCGTGTGACCACACAGGTTAGGTAGGAAGGAGACCGGGGGAAGACCTTTACCTTGGTAGATGTCCTGGAGAGACCCGCCCCCGCAGAACTCCATGCAGATCCAAAGTTTGTTAAACCTGGGGAGACAGCGGAGAGGTCAGGGTGAATAGTGGTGGGGCAGGGGGGGGAAGAGACCTGGTAGGAGAGGGAGGAGTGGGAAAGGAAAATGGGACCATCCCAACCCTGAGGAATGACACTCTAATGCATTTGCAACTCAGGATATCCCATAGATTTGCAAAGGATCCACTTCCTCGTGTTGCAGCTCCACAAGATAACACAAGGCCGGTCAGGGGAAACCCTGGGTGATGGGCAAAGGGGAGTGTTTCTCACTGGAGGTAGCTTCCGAAATAGGCGACGATATTCTGGTGTTTGCACGTCTTCACCATGACGATCTCTTGTTGAATGGTGGCGCAGTCGTCATCTGGACGAGTTGGGGACAAGAAGGTAATAACAGCATTCGGTTTAGAGGCTGGTGTTTACTTGTACGCCGCTTTTGTCCCCGAGGGCGTCGTGGTTAAGTGCACGGGCTCTAATCTGGGAGAACCAGGTTTGATTCCGCACTCCTCCACTTGCACCTGGCTGGGTGCCCTTGGGCAAGCCGTAGTTCTGATAAGAGCTGTTCTTGAAAAAGAGCCGTTTCTGTCAGAGCTCTCTCAGCCCCACCGACCTCACAGGGTGTCTGTTGTGGGGAGGGGAAGGGAAAGGAGTTTGTAAGACACTCTCCTTCAGGTACTGAAGGGCGGGGTATAAATCCAATCCCTTCTTCTCTTCCTACACATGCAGCTGCTGCTGTGTCCTTGGGTCAGTCACAAGTTCTCTCAGAGCTGTTCTCTCAAGGACAGTTCTTGAAAGAGATCTCTCAGCCCCCCCTACCTCACAGGGTGTCTGTTGTGGGGAGGGGAAGGGAAAGGAGTTTGTAAGCCGCTCTGAGACACCTTTGGGTAGTGAAGGGCGGGGTATGAAGAAGAAGAAGAGAAGAAGAGATTGGACTTGTACCCCGCTCTTCACTCAGAGTCTCAGAGCAGCTTACAAACTCCTTTCCCTTCCCCTCCCCTCCCCACAATAGGCACCCTGTGAAGTAGGTGGGGCTGAGAGAGCTCTTTCAAGAACTACGTCTTGCCCAAGGTCATCCAGCAGCTGCAAGCGTAGGAATGGGGAATCAAACCCGGTTCTCCCAGATTAGAGTCCGCACACTTAACCACTACACCAAACTGGCTCTCTTCTTCTTCTTCTTTTCTACAATGTTCTCCCTTTCTCCAGTGTATCCAAACAACAACCTTGTAAAGTTCCTAAGAGCTCTAAGCAGTCTTTTTCAGGATCCCAAGAGCTCTAAGTTTTTTTTTAAAAAAAAGAAGAGTTGGATTTATAACCCCACCACTCGAAATCTCAGAGCGGCTTACAAACTCCTTCCCTTCCTCTCCCCACAACAGACACCCTGGGAGGTAGGTGGAGCTGAGAGAGTCCACAGAGAACTGTGACTGGCCCAAGGTCACCCAGCAGGCCTCATATGTCTCAGAGCAGCTTACAATCTTCTCCCCTTCCTCTCCCCACAACCCTGTGAGGTTGGTGGGGCTAAGAGTAACTGTTGGCCCTCCAGAGTAACTGGTCGGCCACTGTGTGAGGAAAGATGCTGGACTAGATGGACCGGTCTGATCCAGCAGGGCTCTTCTGATGTTCTTAATCTCTCACGTTGGATTGCATTATAATGGAGGAGTGACCATCCTTCTAGCAATCTTTATTTGTGTCACCTGAGGGGAGAACAGGATATTTCTTGGCCCACAAGGCAGAGCCTGTATCAACTGCCGAATCTGGGGTTCCACTCTTCAAGAGTCAAGTATTATTTGATATACAACTTATATTTTTACCACCGTGAACCAAGGGAGTACTGTGTTGTCTTCCTGCCTCAGGGCACCAAAATGTCTTGAAGCATTCTGAGGTGATTTTTTGGGGTGGGGGGTGGGAAACACACATGAACACCTGAAGCGGCCTTCTACTGAGTCAGACCCTGGGTCCATCAAAGTCAATATTGTCTACTCAGACTGGCAGCAGCTTTCCAAAGTCTCAGGCAGAGGTCTTTCTAGGGTTGCCAAGTCCCCCCGGGCAGGGGTCATTTCGTAGAAAAAGAGGTGCAGGAGCTCATTAGCACAACTCATTAGCATAACTTATTTGCATATGCCACACCCCCTGACATCACCGGAAGTGTGTCAGAAGGCAACACCCACCGCTCAGGCTCCACTGGACTGTTTTGGATTGCTAGCTATTGGGGGGGGGACGTGCAGATCTGCCCTCACAGAGGAGGGAGAGCTTGTACCTGAATTACCTGAATAAAACTTGGTCTTAAAGGTGCCACTGGACTGTTTTGGACTGGGGGGCCGTGGGAAGCTCTGCAACTTACCTGGCTGCTTCTTGCTCTGACTGAGGCCTGCTGGGAACAGGGGGTGGGGCTTGTTGCATGTGCCCACCCCCTGGGCTCTTTACTGCCGGAGCTCCACTCCTGTGCGCTCCTGCAGGAAATGGCCCCTGCCCCCGGGGATTGGGCCGCCGGGGGGAACCCCACCCCCAAAGCACGCAACGTGCCCAACGTGAACACGTTACCCGGAGGTGACCTCATCGCATCGGGCACGTTGCGGGGGGGACGCTCTATCATTCGTGGGAAAACTCTATGGTTTTCCCTCGAATGATTGTGGCCCCGCCCCCAACGCAGGAGGACTCCCGGGGACGTCGTGGATCCCCCCACTGTTTCGTGAGTAGGACTTGGCGACCCTAGGTCTTTCACATCACCTACTGCTAGATCTTTTAACTAGAGATACCGGGGATTGAACCTGGGACACATAAGAGGTGTTTTGGTTTTTTTTAGTGAATTCAAATATCTGGATGTTGATTGCTTTTAAATGGCCCAAACTGTGGCACTTGAGATGGCCACCTCACCACCAGTGTCCCCTCTAAGCTGAGTTAGTGTGAGTTAGCTCACAGTTTTTTAGCCTCCGGCTCACACCTTTTTGTCTCAGCTCAGGAAGGATGGGGCTCCAGAGCAAACTCGTTTATGCAGTCGCCAAATCGCTCGCTCACAACTTTAATGCCAGCAGCTCACCAAGTAGAATTTTTGCTCACAAGACTCCACAGCTTGGAGGGAGCCTTGCTCACCACGCTTTGTCATCGGACCAGGCTCAGAGCTGATAAGAATTATCTATTTTATATTTGTTTTATTTGGAAATTCTCTACACCGCCTCTCCAGGGAGCTTGCCTGAAGCAGCACACAAAATGAAACATCATAAAACCCTAAAGTATCCTAAAATTTAATAAAATGCATTACTAGCAATATCATTGCTGACACGGTTATTTATCACGCTACCCAATATAGCAATATTTTCACATTCGCATGCCGAACGTTCGGCAAAAGCCTGTTATAACTGCAGAAAAGCTGCCTTTTAAAAGAAAACGATCATCAGTTTTTTCAACAAACACAACAAGACCAAAAAAAATGTATTGAAAGCAATAGTGCCGTATTGGGGACATCAAGATTGTTCCGGAATCGTAAAAAACAAGTACAAGATGAAATTAGGAACATACTGTGGTGAAAAGGTGCCTTTGATTCTACCGGTGATCACGGGTCATTTCCTGCAGGAGCACACAGGAGTGGAGCTCCGGCAGTAAAGAGCCCAGGGGGGCGGGCACATGCAACAAGCCCCACCCCCTGCTCCCAGCAGCCCTCAGTCAGAGCAAGAAGCAGCCAGGTAAGTTGCAGAGCCCCCCCCCCCGCGCCACAAGACGTGGCACCTTTAAGACCAAGTTTTATTCAGGTACAAACTCTCCCTCTTCTGCGAGGACAGATCTGCATGTATGTACATCCCCCCGCCCCAATAGCTAGCAATCCAAAACAGTCCAGTGGAGCCTGAGCAGTGGGTGTTGCCTTCTGACACACTTCCGGTGTTGTCAGGGGGTGTGGTATATGCAAATAAGCTATGCTATGCTAATGAGCTCCTGCACCTCTTTTTCTACGAAATGACCCCTACTGGTGATGCTTACTTCAAAAGGATTGGGTCTGGTCTACCTTAGATTGTTTTCTCTTAGCCCCCCAAACAATTTGATAATGGAAAAGAGTGCTTCTGAGAACGCTCAGAGTGCCTCCGCCTCAGCAATACGACAGTGTCTGTGCATCTGGCGTTAGCACAGAGTCCAGCGTGTCTCTGGATAACCTTCGTCGCTATCGCTTTCCCATTCCAAGCCTGTTCCTGGCTACAAGACGGCTTCCTGCCACCATTTTTGTAGGAAGGGATTCAAAAGACAGAGCCCTCCTTCAATGCACATTCTGTTCCGGACAGCGGCCGAGCAAGAACACAGGGGGCTGGGGACTCCACACTCACCGGCTTCCATTTTTACAATCTTGATAGCCGCCATCTTCCCCGTTTCCTTGTTCTTGGCCTGAGGGAAATACAGAGAAGATTAAAAGGTAGTGTTTTAGCTGTGGCTTGGATAGCCCAGGCAGGCCCAATCTCGTCAGATCGTGGAAGCTTAAGGAGAGTTGACTGTGGTTAGTAACTGGATGGGAGACCTCTTTAAAATACCAGAGGCAGGAGGACAAGGGCGGGCTTTATTCAGCCACCTCTCTGAATAGCCTCCAGGAGGCAGAGGAGATTAAGATTTTACCCCCCGCCCTTACCCAAAGGAGTCTCAGAGCGGCTTACGATCTCCTTTCCCTTCCCTTCCCCACAACAGAGACCCTGAGAGGTAGGTGGGGCTGAGAGAGCTCTCTCGAGAACTGCCCTTGAGAGAACAGCTCCGGGAGAACTTGTGACTGACCCAAGGTCACCCCGCAGCTGCATGTGGAGGCGTGGGGAATCAAACCCGGCTCTCCCAGTTTAGAGTCCAGGACTGCGAACAGGAAAGCTATGCAGGCGTAACCTGGAAGGCAGCATCTCCTGGGTAAAACAGCGGCCACCGTTAGAAAGACCGCTGATCTGAAGTTTCCCCCATTGTACATGTCCATCCTTCCCAAACCAAGGCTGTGGTCATTTTCTTTTAACATGTACTTTTAAATGTCTGCCTGGCAGCTATGTCCATACACCCAAAAAAAGAGGGGGGGGGATCTAAACCAACAAAGCACAAACCCCCAAAGGAAGTTTAGAAAACTAATTGAGGGCCAAAAGTTTAAAAACAGAAGTGTACAAAAGAGTGTTGATTACAAAGACATATAAAAATCTAGTAGGGGCCCAAACAATGTTCCCTCTAAGCTGTAGAGTCCTGTGAGCAAAAATTCTACTTTGTGAGCTACCGGCATTAAAGTTGTGAGCAGGTGATTTGGCTGCTGCATGAATCAGTGTGTTCTGGAGCCCTCCTTCCTGAGATGAGACAAAAATGTGTGAGCCGGAGGCTAAAAAACTGTGAGCTGGCTCACAGTAACTCAGCTTAGAGGGAACACTGGGCCCAAATAAAGCCTCATAAAATGTACAAAGTTACAAATACACACAAAAGAGAACAGTGTGTGTGACCTGATGTGTTATGACGCACAAGAGCCTTCTTCAGAGGTCAAATAGTGCAAAATATAACAAGCAACAGAGTCCCTGTAACACATGTAAGGCAATTAACAATACATAAAAAATAAATAAATAAAACAGGACCAAAATTGGAATGTTCCTATATGGAATTGAATGACACACCAAAAAAGTTTCTATTTGGGGCCACAAATAACATCTGTTCTTGTGTCGGAAGTAGTTGCATAAACTGGAAATATTATGTATCTTCCAGTTTAGGTCCTAAGAGTGCAAATAGAATTGGCTTGTCAGGGACAATGTGCCATCAATATGTACAACCAGACCTGTAACTGTGGCTGCTCCAGTGGTGTGAGAAATGTACTCCGTCCATGCTCAGAAGCAGTCTCTTCAAACATATTACTTTACTATCCTGCTGATTTGAGGAGAGGAGAGACGACAGGAGATTGGATTTATACCCTGCTCACCACACCACTACTCGAAGGAGTCTCAGAGCAGCTTAAAACCCCATTACCTTCCCTTTCCCACAACAGACGCACCCTGTGAGGTAGGTGGGGCTGAGAGAGCTCTGAGAGAACTGCTCTTGAGTGAACAGCTCTGAGAGAACTGTGGCTGACCCAAGGTCACGCCAGCAGCTGCGTGTGGCGGAGTGGGGAAATCAAACCCGGTTCTCCCAGATTAGAGTCTGTGCTCCTAACCACTACACCAAACTGGCTTGTGGGTTGTTGTTCCCACCAAAGCGAACTAAGCTTCCCCAGTTTGGCTCCGTGGACTCTTCACCCGATGCATCATCTGAAATTAATCCCTAGTTTTATGCACAGAGTGATTCTTCACCTCTGTTCTCAGCCTCTGAAAGGACTTCTGCATTCCATCGGGCGCTCTAGAGACACTGGGTCAGCTACTGGTTTGGGGTTTTTCTTGCATTTTCAACTAATAGGATTTCCTGCGCTAGGCAGAAATCGAAAGGGGGCAGATTTTCCTGGCCTGGAGATAAAGGCAGAAGAGAGCGACGCCCATTGCAGTGTACTTTCCGTGGTGTGGAGGAAGATGCGATGGAGGAATGCATCCGTGGAGAACCGTGGACAGCCCACGGAGCCCCCAAATTCCAATCCCAACTCGGCCTAGAAGCTCAGGAGGACAGCGATCCTCTATATACTAACCAGGATCGAAGCAACACTGAACATCATAGGACTAATGTCTACATAAACATACATCAGACTGGGCTGAGTGTGGCCTCAGGACAGTCGCAAGCACTCCACACAACCTATCTTATAGGTAGGTGGATGTGAACAGGGCCTTCTTTTTTCCCCCCCCGGAAAAAAGAGGTGCCACAACTCTCAAGAGGGAAACGAAGTTTTCAATCTATATACTGAAACCTCATGACCAATGTTCCCTCTAAGCTCTGGAGTCTTGTGAGCAAGCATTCTACTTTGTGAGCTACTGGCATTAAAGCTGTGAGTGAGCGATTTGGCTGCTGCATAAATTGGTTTGCTCTGGAGCCCTCCTTCCTGAGCTAAGACAAAAATGTGTGAGCCAGAGGCTAAACAACTGTGAGCTAGCTCACATTGACTCCGCTTAGAAGGAACACTGCTCATGACTTGTTAAACGTTTTTAAAAGACTATTGTTGAAGAGGTTCTGGAACTTCGTCCCCCCAGAAAAAATGCCCTGGTTGTGAAGAAAAGGGGGGGGATGTATGTCCCCCTGGTCTTGAGAACTAGAAGTAAACCATGTTGGTTTCCCAGGTAACCAATGCTCCCTCTAAGCTGTGGAGTTTGGTGAGCAAAAATTCTACCTTGTGAGCTACTGGCATTAAAAGCTGTGAGCGAGCAATTTGGCTGCTGCATCAGTTAGTTTGCTCCGGAGCCATCCTTCCTGAGCTAAGACAAAAATGTGTGAGCCGGAGGCTAATAAACTGTGAGCTAGCTCACACTAACTCAGCTTACAGGGAACACTGCAACCTGTGGAACTCATGGCCGCTGGATGTCACGTTGTTTTTTAAAGGAGCGTTTTTTTCTCCGCTTTCTTTTAAACCATATTCACTTAGTACATTATGGCCAGAAACAAAAAATTCCAAAACAGGGCAGTGAAATCGGTAGGCCACGCGATCCAGGATGCTACAAGCTGGCGCTTCAAGAAATAAAGGTGCCGTTACCTTGTAGACTTCCCCGTAGGTTCCCCCGCCAACTCTTTGCAGCAGCTCAAAGTCTTCTTGAGGGTTTCTGGTGGAAATATCTAAGGCTGCTCTTTCTCGGGGATCCATTGTTCAGTGCTCTCCCGCCCGCAAAGCGGAGGTTGCTGAGCTTGTGAGTCCTTCTGCGTAGGCGTCGAGCGGCAGTGTGGTCAGGCCACTGATAAACTTCTCAGGGCTCCGCTTCCTGATTTGAAGCACGGTTTGCTCTCTGAGACCTCCTGAGACCTCTGGGGACAGCGGGAGGGGCATGAAGACCATGTCGCTTTGTATTCTCTCTTCCTTGAGGCAGAAGTTACAGGAACCGTTTCTCTTTTTGGAGGAGAAAAGTACTCGCAATTGGTGAAACCTTTGCAGGCTCGTCTGCTTATTAACAAGTGTAGAGGCTGAGCAGGTAGGCTATGAGCCAGCGAGCATGCACGCACACAACCAGCCTTGTACAGAATCAGTTTCCCTTTGGAAGAGACAGCACCAGAACCTTGTACCTTTAGGGACTAGTCTGCTTATTAGCAAGAGTAAAGGTTGATGAAGCTCAGATACTTTGGCCACCAAATGAGAAGGGAGCACTCACTGGAGAAGACCCTGATGCTGGGAAAGACTGAAGGTCAAAGAAGACGGGGACGGCAAAGGATGAGATGGTTAGAAAGTGTCATAGATGCAACGAACATGAAATTGAGCCAACTTCAGAGGACGGCGGAAGACAGGAAGGCCTGACGTGATCTGGTCCATGGGGTCGTGAAGAGTCGGACTCGACTGTGCGACTGAACAACAACAAAAAGGTTGATGAAGAAGAGGAAGAGTTGGTTTTTATACACTGCACTTCATTACCCAAAGGAGTCGCAAAGCGGCTTACAATTGCCTTCCCTTCCCGGTCCGCACAACAGACACCCTGTGAGCAGTGTTCCCTCTAAGCTGAGTTAGTGTGAGCTAGCTCACCGTTTTTTAGTCTCCAGCACACAGCTTTTTGTCTTAGCTCAGGAAGGATGGCTCCAGAGCAAAATAATTTATGCAGTAGCCAAATCGCTCACTCACAGAGTCAGTTTGGTGTAGTGGTTAAGTGCATGGACTCTAATCTGGGAGAACCGGGTTTGATTCCCCACTCCTCCACTTGCACCTGCTGGATGATCTTGGGCAAGCCGTAGTTCTGATGAGGGAGGGGAAGGAGTTTGTAAGCCGCTCTGAGACTCCTTTGAGTAGTGGAGGGCAGGGTATAAATCCAATCTCCTCCTTTTCTTTTTCAAAACTTTAATGCCAGTAGCTCACAGAGTAGAATTCCAGAGTAGAATTCTAGATCTCTTCTCTTCTAAGCTGAGTTAGTGTGAGCTAGCTCACAGTTTTTTAGTCTCCGGCACACAGACTTTTGTTTTAGCTCAGGAAGGATGGCTCCAGAGCAAACTAATTAATGCACTAGCCAAATCGCTCGCTCACAGAGCCAGTTTGGTGTAGTGGTTAAGTGCATGGACTCTAATCTGGGAGAACCGGGTTTGATTCCCCACTCTTCCACTTGCACCTGCTGGATGATCTTGGGCAAGCCGTAGTTCTGATGAGAACTGTTCTTGAAAAAGAGCAGTTTCTGTCAGAGCTCTCTCAGCCCCACCTACTTCACAGGGTGTCTGTTGTGGGGAGGGGAAGGGAAAGGAGTTTGTAAGCCGCTCTGAGACTCCTTTGGGTAGTGAAGGGCAGGGTATAAATCCAATCTCCTCCTTTTCTTTTTCAAAACTTTAATGCCAGTAGCTCAGAGTAGAACCTTTGCTCACAAGGTCCCACAGCTTAGAGGGAGCATTGCTTGTGAGGTAGGTAGGGCCAGTGTTCCCTCTAAGCTGAGTTAGTGTGAGCCACTTCACAGTTTTTTAGTCTCCGGCTCACACATTTTTGTCGTAGCTCACAACTTTAACGCCCGTAGCTCACGAAGTGGAATTTTGGCTCACAAGACTCCATAGCTTAGAAGAGTATGGGGTGGGGCTGAAAGAGCTCTGAGGGAACTGTGACTGATCCAAGGTCACCCAACCGACTTCATGTGGAGGAGCGGGGAATCAAACTCGGTTGTCCAGATTAGAGTCTGTTACTCTTAACCGCTACACACACAGAGCCAGCCTTGTACAGGATCAGTTTCCCTTTGGAAGAGAGAGCGCTAGAACCCCGTCATACCTTTAGGGACTAGTCACTACAGGGGTGTTAAACATGCGGCCCGGGGGCCGGATGAGGCCCCCGGAAGGCTTCTATCAGGCCCGCAGTGGAACTGGCTGTCTTCTGCTGCTTCTTCCAGTTGAAGGAGACATTAGAGTTCCATTTGTTGCAATTTGCTCAACAGTTAAGATTTTTGTCTTCAGCCGCACTTTCTGTACCCCTGCCCGAGGAGGTGAGGCTGGGTGGCGAGTAGGCACAGGGCTTTTCCAGTGGTGGAATTCTGTCTCTGCAGTGTCCTCTCTGTCGAGGTTTGCCTGATACCCAGGGGTCATTCTGTAGAAAAAGAGGTGCAGGAGCTCATTAGCATAGCTTATTAGCATATGCCACACCCCCTGACATCACCAGAAGTATCAGAAGGCAACACTCACCGCTCAGGCTCCACTGGACTGTTTTGGATTGTCAGCTATTGGGGAGGGGAGGAACATGCAGATCTGTCCTTGCAGAGGAGGGAGAGCTTGTACCTGAATAAAACTTGGTCTTAAAGGTGCCACTGGACTGTTTTGTACCGGGGGGGCGAGCTGGACTATTTTGTACCGGGGTAACTTACCTGGCTGCTTCTTGCTCTGACTGAGGGCTGCTGGGAGCAGGGGGTGGGGCTTGTTGCATGTGCCCGCCCCCTGGGCTCTTTACTGCCGGAGCTCCACTCCTGTGCGCTCCTGCAGGAAATGACCCCTGAACACACATAAGGGCTGAGCAGGTAGCATGCAATCATACTGGCAGCCAGCCATCTACAGAATCAGTTTCCTTTTGGAAGAGAGAGTGCTGGAATCTTGTGATCGGTGTTCCCTCTAAGCTGAGTTACTGTGAGCTAGCTCAGATTTTTAACCTCCGGCTCACACATTTTTGTCTTCGCTTAGTAAGGAGGGCTCCAGAGCCAACTAATTGATGCAGTAGCCCAATTGCTCACTCACAACTTTAAGGCCAGCAGCTCACAAAGTCGAATTTTTGCTCACAAGATTCCACAGCTTAGAAGGAGCACTGGCCCAGACAATGGAACTGGATGTGGAACTTTACATTTATAAATAATATACATTTAACATAGGCTTCTTCTTGGAGGGAACGTGTCATGGTATAGTCCATTCTTTGTCAGATCTCATAAGGTAAGCAGGGTCAATACTTGGATGAGAGACCACCAAGGAAGACTCTGCAGAGGAAGGCAACAGCACACCACCTCTGTTTCTTACTTGCCTTGAAAACCCGTAGCTGGGTATCTGGTGGCCTGATCTCATCATAGGAGAACGCCAGAGCACTTTTGTTTAGTGTAATGCTATTATAATGTTATTGTACTGAATTGATTTTAAATGGTTTTATATGTTTTATATTGGCTTATGCCTTTTGTAAGCCGCCCTGAGCCTGCATACACGGGGAGGGCGGGGTATAAATTGAATTAATTAAATAAATAAATAAATAAAGAACTTGGAAGCTAAGCAAGGTTGGCACTTGGAAGGGAGGCCTCCAAGAAAGACTCTGCAGAGGAAGGTAATGCCAAACCACCTCCGCTTTTGAAAGCAACTTGTTTGGGTTGCCATAAGTTAGGGTTACCCAGAGGACACATCCTCTTTGTTTTTTTTGGTATCCATCCTCTTTTGGGCTCTTTTTTAAAAAAAACAAAAAAAAATTTGCAAAAAAAAACCCCACCCCAACACCCCGACCTAAAACGCATAACGCGGCGTGCAAAACCCGTTCACAAAATTTTGCATGGGCACGCAAAACAAAAAACGAAACCCACCGCGGCGTCCCGACCTCAAAGCCAGTCGCCCGTACTACAAAAAGCGCACCTTCGACGCAACGGCGCAGGCGCGGCCGACCGGGCGCACGCGCACACAAAGCTTCCTTCTCCCTCGCGTCTTCCGTCTGCGCATGCGCGGGAGGCCGCGGGGGGAGGAGGAAAGGCGCTCTGTCGGTTTCCTCTCCACGGCGCCTTGCGGCCAGGCCTCGGCGGAAGTGCCCTCTCGCCCGGCTTCATCCGCTTCCTCCGGAAGTCGTGGTACTCCTTCCGCCCCCGCCGCCGGCTCCTTCCGTCATGGCGCTCTTCGAGCAGATGCGGGCGAACGTGGGGAAGCTGCTGAAGGGGATCGACAGGTACCGCGGGGAGGTTGTTTTTTTTTATCGGTTGTTCAGTTTTATATCTGATGCTTCCTCGAGTGTTTTCCTGCGCTGTGGGTTGCTTTCCTTAGAGGGTCCTTCTCTCCTTGCATCGAGCTTGCCTTGTTTTTGGAAAGGTCTCGTGGTTACTCCCCTGTCTGGGGTTGTTGTTTTTTTGCAGTCTCTTAACAGCAATGAGCTGCGGTGGCTCAAGGGGTTAAGACGCTGAACTGCAGGCTGTGGAAGGTCGGTAGTTCAGCAGTTCGAGACCCGAGTGTGCCGCATGACGGAGTGAGCTCCCGTCTCCGGTCCCAGCTCCTGCCAACCTAGCAGTTCGAAAGCAAGAAATTGCAAGGAGATAAATAGGTACCCCTTCGGTGGGAAGGTAACAGCGTTCCGTGCGCCTTGGTGTTTAGTCATGCCGGCCACATGACCACGGAAACGTCTTCAGACAGCGCTGGCTCTTCGGCTTTGAAACGGAGATGAGCACCGCAACCCTAGAGTCGGACTCGACTGGCTTTCGAGCAAGGGAACCTTTACCTTTACTTTAATAGCAATATAAACAGAACAGAGTGTGAGTCCAGTGGCACCTTCAAGACCATCAACGTTTTATTTAAGACCTTAAATAAAACTTTGTGGGTCTTCAGGGCGCCACACTGGACTCGAACTCTGTTCTGCTGCTTCAGACCAACACAACGACACCACCTGAACAGCAGAAACGAGCAAGCAGAAGGTGTCCTGGGGCACTCTAAAGAAGAAGAAGATTTATACCCTGCCCTTCATAAAAACCTCAGAAGAGCCCTGCTGGATCAGACCAGTGAGGGTCCATCTAGTCTAGCATCCTGTCTCACACAGGGGCCAACCAGTTCCTCTGGAGGGCCAACAACAGGGCAGAAAGGCAGAGGCCTTCCCCTGACAAGAACATCAGAAGAGCCCTGCTGAGTCAGACAAGTGAGGGCCCGTCTAGTCCAGCATCCTGTCTCACACAGTGGCCAACCAGTTACTCTGCAGGGCCAACAACAGGGCAGAGAGGTCGAGGCCTTCCTAAGAACCTAAGAAGAGCACTGCTGGATCTGATGTCTGGAGGGCCAGCAGCAGGACAGAGAGGCCAAGGCCTTCCCCTCTGATGAGAACGTAAGAAGAGCCCAGATGGATCAGACCAGTGGTCCGTCTAGTCCAGCATCCTGTCTCACACGGTGGCCAACAAGTTCCCCTGGAGGGCCAACAACAGGGCAGAGAGGCCAAGGCCTTCCCCTGATGTTGCATCATGGCTCTGGGATTCAGAGGTTTCATGCCTCTGAATGTGGAGGTTCCCCTCAGTCACCAGGAGTAGCAGCCATTGATAGACCTCTCCTCCATGAATCTATCTAATCCCTTTTTAAAGCTGTTTATTCCTTTGACCAACTCCAGGTAGGGAGATTCCTGGGGATTCAAGTGGAGCTTAGGAAGGGGCTGTGGCCGGGTATAGAAAAAGAAGAAGAGATTGGATTTATACCCCGCCCTTCTCTACCGAAAGGAGTCTCAGAGCGGCTTACAAACTCCTTCCCCTCCCCGCCACAGGCACCCTGTGAGGCAGGTGGGGCTGAGAGAGCTCTGACAGCAACTGCTCTTTTTCAAGAACAGCTGTGCCAGAGCTTGTGACTGACCCAAGGTCACATCAGGTGCAAGTGGAGGAGTGGGGAATCAAACCCTGTTCTCTCGGAATTAGAGTCCGTGCACTTAATCACTGCACCAAACTATAGTGAGAGTCTGCCCTCCCAAGCATCCGCTTTCTCCAAGGGAACTGAACTCTGTATTCTGGAGACCTGTTGTAATTCAGTCTGGCTTTCCAGCACCACCTGGAGGTTGGACAGAAGCTTGCTTCATTCCGTGTCATTAGCTGGAGAGAGAATGTGTACAGAAGCCTAAAAACAGAACCGAGTCAAAGCGTAAAGTATTAACACAATGTGTTTTATGTATAAGCTCTATATCTAGTCTGTTTCTGCCTAGCAAAAGTAGAAAGGAAGGGAGTGGTGGGATATTTTCTGTCCCTCCTTTTCTATATTTTAATATACATGAACATCTTTACTCCGTCTGAAGCAAAACCTTTTGATTGTAAAGCGTGTAGTGTCTCTGACTTAGAAGTGGCGATGAGGAACTGACTTAGAAGAGGCGATGAGGAACTGACTTAGAAGTGGCGATGAGGAACTGACTTAGAAGTGGCGATGAGGAACTGACTTAGAAGTGGCGATGAGGAACTGACTTAGAAGTGGCGATGAGGAACTGACTTAGAAGTGGCGATGAAGAACTGCTGGGGGCCCCACCTTGAACCCCCTGCTGGTGAGCTTTCTGAGACATCTGGTTGGGCCCTGTAGGGGTTTAAGTTCTGGGTCTGAGTCGGCTCTTTTCTTGCCTCTCCTGGTCTCCGTCTTGGCGATTTCTTTCCAATTCACAGATTCGCAAAATAAAGCACTCTTCTAGATGATAAGATTTAGTCCTCCATGCCTCTCTGTTTACGCTTTCCAAAGACCCTTAGAAATATATTAAAAAAGCAAATTTAGTTGAAGTCCTCCTCAAAATGTCGGGCGCAACTTCTCTATGGTAATTTCATGTAGAGTAGGTCAGATTGGTATTTTGCAGGCCCTTCCTTCCGCATAAAACTCACTTCCGGTCCGGCACCTTTAAAAGTTCCACTGTCTTCCTTTCGCTAATGCCCGTCTAGGAATTCAACTTCCTGGATGTTTCACACGGACCTCTTTCTTTGTGACACCAGCCTGCTCTTCCCACGCTATTGTTCGTGAGTTTCGATTTTACAGTTGCGCACACGGCTCCATCTTCACCACAGGAATGTTAAACAATAAGCGTTTTTACAGTTTTTAAAGGCTTCAATCAACTTTTTTCTCTCCGGAATCGGATTTCTGGGATTTACTATTCATTTTCCGCTCAACCGCTTAATTCAAATTGACTCCAAACTCAGTTCAGGTAAGCGGCACGTTTTTGTTATCTAGCACGTTCAAAACGGGTTTCGCATTGTTTCTTTTAACTCACAGTTGTTGTCCTTCTTCAAAGAAGTCTGCTGACGAAGAATTTATGCCGGTAATCCGGCTCGATCGGCCACTATAGAGTTGCTTGGCACTTGCCTTCTTCGTGGGAGGAGGTCAAAGCCCAATTCAGCTTCTTCCGAAGCTGGATTACGCCAACCTCACACTCCCTCTAGGGCGCTGCTGCCTGCTTGTCCCCCCCCCTCGCTGGGGAGTGATGCGTTGGGCTGTGTATTGCCCAAACTGTCAAAAGTGGCCGTCGCTCGCTTCGCACGATCGCGAAACGCTTCAGTCCTCCATCTTAGCCAGACCGGAAGCCCCCTGTCCCTCCTTTTCTATATTTTAATATACATGAACATCTTTACTCCGTCTGAAGCAAAACCTTTTGATTGTAAAGCGTGTAGTGTCACTGACTTAGAAGTGGCGATGAGGAACTGACTTAGAAGTGGCGATGAAGAACTGCTGGGGGCCCCACCTTGAACCCCCTGCTGGTGAGCTTTCTGAGACATCTGGTTGGGCCCTGTAGGAAACACGAAGCTCTGCTGGATGAATCCTTGGTCTGATCTGGCGCAGCTCTCCTGTTTATGTTCTTAAATATTTCTAATAGAACCATCATCAAATCTAGGATCACCAGGAAAAAGAGAAGCTTCTGGATTTTGTAGAGACTACGGGTGCGTTCAGGTGGTGTGCTGGGAGCGGGTTAAACTGCTCCGGCCCCATGCGTGTTTTTTTTTTAACCTGGAGAATCGCAATCACACTCACCTCCTTGTTCCGGATCGCTGTGCAGTAACATCACTCCCCGCTGGCGTTGTTTTCTCTCTCTCTCTCTCAGTTTGGGCATGCGCACAGGCAGCCATCTCTGGAACTAAAATTTCCGCGCGTGCGCAGAACCGATTTCCTCGTCAACCCAACTGCTGTAACACTTCCATTTAAACTTTAAAGGACCACTTCCCTTTAAACATTTACCCCGAAAATGCCCTCCGTGAGATCCCGAACTCGTCTAAAGGCTAACACTAGGCACCGTTTAAACATTGTTTTTAATAACGCGGTGGCGGAACGCCGCCTATGCGCACAGCGCCAACACTTTTTTTAAAATGGCGGGCGAAAAGCAGAAGCCTCGGGCAGCTTTTGAGCGGGGAGGGAGTTTAAACCGGAAGTGGCTCGACGCCGGAGGAGCAATCACACGGGAAAAATGCGGCTGGAACCGGAGAAGCAGGAAAACACCACTTGGGGACCTGGCATCAAAATACTCCATTTTAAAGGGGGTTTGCGCCAGAAAGCGATGGCTGGGGACGGTGTGCAGATGTTGACCGTGTGATCGCGCGTAAATAGTCCGTTTCTAACCGGCACGTATACCGGCTCAAATGGCCCGCCTGAACACGCCCTATGAGACCTTAATTCTTATAGACTCATCCTGGTTCTCTCCTACCTGTCTCACGAGAATTCCTCCTTCCATTGTTTAGATTTCTAAACCTGCCTGTTACCCACTTAGTTGTGTATATGAGATAAAGCGAGAAACGCCAGGTAGAACCAGTGCACAGTAGTGGTGATGAGTGTTGGTGTAGTGTCTGAGAGACCATTTGCCTCACAGAAGCTCGCTGAATGACCTGGGGCCAGCCATGCTCTTTCAGCCTAACCTACCTCACAGGATTGTTCTGAGGATAAAATGTAGGAGAGGGTAAGGATGCAAACCGCTCTGGGTCCCTGTTAGGGAGAAAAGCAGAGTTCAAATGAATTAGATAAAGAAAATAAACAAGGTAGTACACTTGTGCATGTGATGGAGGGGAGTCCAGTCCATTAATCTTTGCAGTGTCCCCAAACTCCTGTTTGTTTTGGCTGCAACATACAAATGTGGCTACACCTGTGGAATCTGAAGCAATCCAAAGAACGTGCCTAAATCTAGCAAAAGGACAACGCTGTAAACAAATATTAAGACAGAAATGCCACAAAGAGCACATTTTTCCTCTGCAGTCCCCCAGTGCTCTTTGAAACCGACACAACCAATCAGTGGTCCCCACCGGTGCTCCCTCTAAGCTGTGGAGTCTTGTGAGCAAAAATTCTACTTTGTGAGCTGCTGGCACGAAAGCTGTGAGCGAGCCATTTGGCTGCTGCGTCAATCAGTTTGCTCTGGAGAAGCCATCCTTCCTGAGCTAAGACAAAAACTGTGTGAGCCGGGGGCTACAAATCTGTGAGCTAGTTCAGACTAACTCAGCTTAGAGGGAACACTGGTCCCCACTAACTTGCTACAGTTCAG